TTACTTGGTTGTTTCCTCTCTTTCCATTATTTACAGTTAAGCAACAAAATGATTTAAATCACTTTTATTATACAAGTCTAAAACGAGTGTTTTTTTGTTTACAGTGGCGCGACAACTTCTTTTCTTACGCACTCGATGAAATATCATTAGAGGACAGATGTTTGAGATATTGGAACAAGTATCTATTAGCATTATCGGACAGCATGGATGGGGAGTTAATGTTTGAGCAAGCGAACTTAAATGTGTTTAGAAAAGTCTGGCTGCAAGGTGATAATAGTATAAAGGGAATTTTCAGATCAAGACGATATGTAGAACATGTTTCATTGTTGGAGTCATGTATCTCCTGGTGTGCGGGTATACCCTTGAACGAATCGATTTTACATTATAATATTGAAGACGTAATGACCCTCAGTGACGTTCCAGAGACTTTTTGACAGTGCTTACATTATTGTGTTTCTTTAAACGTGTTAGTAAAGTAATAAATTGTTTTTGTTGTCTATTTGTATTAAAATCTTATATGTTAGCTGATGTGTTATTAATTTTTTGATGGTTCTCTCGCAGCGTGGTACACATATCTGATTTCACTTTCATTCTCACTTTCTTTACTTCATATCTGTACTTCTCACCTCGGTACTGTAAGGACTTCATAAAGTCGTCAGTTTCTTGCTAATAAAAAAAAAAAAAAAAAAGGAGACGATATTAACGCAATAAAGTTGAGTTGAAAGACAGTACAACAAACGTCGTTACATAAAGAAGTAAAATGGGAAAAAAATCAATTGGTGAGTACAAACGTGCTCAAACAGTTACTCTATATGATGCTGGATTTACAATTTCTGGTATTGCTCGTCAACTTAACATTTCATGGACTTGTGTTAAAAATGCTATTATACGTTATCGTGATCACGGTACATTCAAAGATCTCCCACGAACCGGTCGTCCTTTGAAACTCATGCCAAGAACTGCTCACTATCTTAAATGTTTAGCACACGGACAAAATCGAACAAATGTCAATATTATTACACCAAAATTAAATGATTTATCGATTATACGTGTTTCTTCAAGAACTGTTCGACGTCATCTTCACAAAATGGGATATACTTACAGTGTACAAATCAAAAAACCATTTTTAAAAAAGATTCATAAAATGAAAAGGATAGCTTGGTGTAAAAAATTTAGGTGTTATACAATTGAGGATTGGCGTCGTATTATATTCAGTGATGAATCGACTTATTATGTTCTGAAACGTAGAAATAAAATGATGGTGTGGCGAACTAAAGATGAAAAACTGGCTTCTGATTGCATCGAGAAAATTAGTACAGGAGATGTAAAAATAGATGTATGCGGAGCCATTTGTGGCTATAGTAAAACATCATTATTGGCTTATTCTGA